CTGGTCCACTCCCAGGCCCAATTTCAGGCCCAGCCCAGATTCCAGGCCCACTGCCTGGTCCACTCCCAGGCCCAATTTCAGGCCCAGTCCAGGTCCCAGGCCCACTCCTTGGCCCAATCCCAGGCCCAATTTCAGGCCCAGCTCAGGTCCCAGACCAAGCCCAGATCCCAGGCCCAATCTCAGGCCCAGGCCCGATCACAGGCGAGATTCCTGGCCTAGCCCAGATCCCAGGCCCAGGCAGACTCGGAGGCCCAGGTCCCATCTTAAGTCCTGGCCGGATGCCAAGCTCAGGCTCACTTCCAGGCCCAGCCCCGATTTTAGGCCCAGGCCCAGGCTCAGTCCCAGGCCCAGGCTCAGTCCCAGCCCCAATCCCAGGTCCAGGATCATTCCTAGCCCCAGCCCCAGTCCCCTTATGGCCTGAGAGCCCCGATGCCTCCGACTTCTTGCCAGACACCCAGTTATTCCCTCAATTCACAGAGCTGCTCCCACCCCTAGACCCCTTGGAGGGATCCTCAGTCTCCACCATGACCTCTCAGTACCAAGAAAGGGATGACTCTATGGGCCAAAAAGACTCAGGGTCTCTGTACCAAGAGGAAGGTGGCTCTGTGAATGAAAATGACTCAGGCCCCAGGTCATTACTGGATTTATAGGGGGCCTGTGCCTGCAAAGTTCTTCAGATCCCAGTGGGCCTGGAGTGGCTGGTCCACACTGCTGGTGACTTTCTGCAGTGAATGCACCACCCTTTACCCACCCGGCTGCAGGCGGACATTTGCTGTCTTCACTGTGCAGCCATCACAGGTGGCCTGTGGATGTGCCTGCCCCTCATTTGAATTGAGCCTGAGCATTTCTCTGCTGGGATTGGAGTCACTGCTCACTGGGATGTTTGGTATTAGTGGATGCCACTTGAGAGCTTTGTAAAGGGCTTTTCCCAGTGCTTCTGATGGTCAGCATCTTCCCCAACACTTAGGATTGTGAGACCTTTTAATGTTTGCTGATGCAATGACTTGTGATTTTGTTGTGGCTGTAACATCCATTTCCCTGATGTTTGATAGGTTAAACTCTCACATGTTAACTGAACCTTAGAAATCCTCATAATGTGTCTCTTTGTTTACCCCTTTTCCTTCATTTATTTGAATGTATTCTTGTATTCTCTTGGCAATTAAAGTTCTGCAAACGCCTTTCCTATTTGCATTTTGTTTCATTAGTAGCATTTCTTGATTTCAATGTTGTCTATTTCACTGTTTTTCAAATTACCTATTGTTATGGACCAGTTTGTCTTAATTTTTCATTTCCGTCAGCAGCAGACTGATAACGCTGTAAAACACAATGAAGTTATTAATAAAAATTAAAATGGGCCAGGCAAGGTGGCTCATGCCTGTAATCCCAATAATTTGGGAGGCCAAGGAAGGTGGATCACTTGAAGTCAGGAGTTTGAAACCAGCCTAACCAACATGGTGAAACCCCATCCTCACTAAAAAGAAAAAAAAAAAAACAAAAATTAGCCAGGCATGCTGGTGGGTGCCTGTAGTCCCAGCTACTCGGGAGGCTAAAGCAGGAGAATCACTTGAACCTGGGAAGTGGATGTTGCAGTGAGCTGAGATCATAATACTGTACTCCAGCCTGGAGTATGGAATGAGACCTTGTCAAAAAATATAAAATAATAAAATAAAATGACTTTTACAAAATATCTCAATATATCTGTATTTTCAAATTGAACAGAAAAGCTTCTAAAAGCTGGTGTTTCTAAAAGACCTCTGTTACTAATTGTTACTAATTGGAGACGAAGCCCATAGGTGGCACCAGTCTGAGGTGACCAGCTTACTGCTTTGAAAATTGCTCCATTTTCTCACTTTTTCCTTCTAAGAGTAATACTTTTTTTTTTT